TTAATCTAAATAAAAAAATAGTTTCCAAAATCCAAGATGGCGGAAATTCAAAATGGCAACCAACATTTATCTAAAATGGCCGATTTGTCAGATAAAAGTCATTTCACTCTTTGATATGGTTTGTAATATGTAATATAAAGAGTTTTCAAAGTCATTGAAATTAAAATCAATCTAAAAAAAAGAGTTTCCAAAATCTAAGATGGCGGAAATTCAAAATGGCTACCAGAATTTTCCAATAATTATCAAATTTTAGGATAATCGTCAATTTTCTGTTTGATATGGCTTGTAATATGTCCTCTATTAAGTTTTCAGAGTCACTGAATTCGATAATTGTAGATGATTGTTTCAGAAAAAAGAGACAATCGTCAATCTTTCTATTGGATTGGTTTATAATAGCAAAGTGTAATAGTTTTTTGAGGGCAACTGAAATTGACCGGACTCAGGAATCTACCTGTCAGTCAATTAACCATGTACAGAACTTACCAGTAAATGTAGTTTAATTGTTTTATGCATTAAAACATCTGATGCTAACGATAATGTTAAGAATTGACACATTCTTTGGAGAAAATATCTGGTTATTCCGACCCTCCACCCCCACCCCATAACAATACAACGGGGCCAATTGAGTCATTTTTAATTTCATCTCCTTTGTCTTTGCACCATTTTACCAGGATGAGAATCATTAATGGTATATAATGCAGTTAAGAATTTACGTTCCCTTATTCATTCAGAAATGGTAATTGTGATGATTATTTTTAAACTTAGAACTTGGTGTGCGATACATTACAGACGAAAATGATCTGTGGATACCATATTTAGACTATACGACAAAAGTAGCCGGACTTTGATGATTCATTTTACACTTTTCACTGGTTCAGAATACTTATGGCCGGAAACCGTTAATGGTATAGTCTAAATATGGTATCCACTATTCACAGATCATTTTCGTGTCTAATGTATTGCACACCAAGTTCTAAGTTTAAAAATAATCATCACGAAAATAATTTGAAATGCATTTACGACTAGTATAGGTATCCCAAAAGTCATCCCCACGATTTTCTCTTTTCTAATGTGTTGTTCTTACATGTAGAACTTGTTGTGAAATACGTCACTGAAGAAAATTACCTGTGGATACCACATCTAGACTCTAACACAAAAGTTACTGGACACAGATTCTTCCGATGCAAAAACGGATCACATTACCATTTCTGAACGAAGAGGAGAACTTAAATTCTTTACAACTGCAATACCATAAATGATTCTCACTTCGGTAAAATGGTGCAAAGACAAAGGAGATGAAATTAAAATGCCTCAATTGGCCCCGTTGTATTGTTATGGGGTGGGGGTGGAGGGTCGGAATAACCAGATATTTTCTCCAAAAAATGTGTCAATTCTTAACATTATGATTAGCATCATTTGTTTTAATGAATAAAACAATTAAACTGCATTTATTGTGTCTTAAGGTTAAATTCTTTGAAATTCTAATTAGCTGCACATGGTTAATTGACTGACGGGTAGATTCCTGAGTCCAGTCAATTTCAGTTGCTCTAGAAAAACTATTACACTTTGCTATTATAAACCAATCCAATAGAAAGATTGCTGATTGCCCCTTTTTTTCTGAAACAATCATCTACAATTATCAAATTCACTGACTTTGAAAACTTAATAGAGGACAAATTGCAAGGCATATCTATCAGAAAATTCACGATTATCCTAAAATTTGATCATTATTGGCAAATTCTGGTAGCCATTTTGAATTTCCGCCATCTTAGATTTTGGAAACTCTTTTTTATTTTAGTTTGATTTTAAGTTCAATGACTTTGAAAACTATTTATATTATATATTACAAACCATATCAAAGAGTGAAATGACCTTTATCTGACAAATCTGCCATTTTAGATAAATGTTGGTTGCCATTCTGAATTTCCGCCATCTTGGATTTTGGAAACTATTTTTTTATTTAGATTAATTTTAAGTTCAGTGACAATGTAAACCCTTTAAATTATATATTACAAACCAAATCAAACAGTGAAATGACTTTAATCTGATCAATCCGCCATTTTGGGTATATTTTGGCCGCCATTTTGAATTTCCGCCATCTTGGATTTGGGGAAACTAGTTTTAGAGATTATTTTTCAGTTCAATTACAACAAAAACCTTATATTTGATATATTACAAGGCATACATTGCGTGATAATCACCCATCCTATCTGGAAAATCATTTTTCTTCAAATTTTGGCGGCCATTTTTGAAATCAGGCAAACCCCAAACGAAAATGACGTCATAGATAAATCTTTTTTCAAAAATCGTGTTCAGCTAGCAATTTTGCATCTGGAAATTGCTGGCCTGAAATGATTTGTAAAAAAATGTCTTATTGTGACACCCCTTGTTATATGTATATCAATGAATAGGCGGCCATTTTGGAAAAGATGTCCGTAACGACCACCAGGGGGAGCTGCTGAGGTGGATCCACATCCCAAAATAATCAGTAGGGTTGATGCCATCTATGTGCCAAGTTTCATGCTTTTAACCCAAAGTGCACGATTTTTTGCTTAACCGCCCCACTAAAGGGAGATTTGGTAACTAATTTGGTAGGAACTGGTCAATCGACTTGTTCGGTTATGATGGCTGCAAATGATATATTCGGAAGTTTTACAAAAATTTAAAATCATATTCAACAGATACTTTCTAGATTGGCATGCATATAACAGTGTTACACTTTTATTCAAACATTCGGGGCAAGGGACAACGTATAGTCGTTCGGGTAGGACGAAAATCTGAAGTCCAGTGTATACATTGGCGTGCACGTAAAACTCCCTTGGCGGTTGGAATTCAGTACAAGAATAGGCCACCGCTGTCCTGAGAAAATTTCACCCATAGCGCACTGTATAGCGTATTCCCGTCTTCATTAGCCCAGTCGAAGCAGATCAGTAGAATGTTAAACGCCAAACTACAAACAATGATAACTTGGCTGAGAAGGAAGTAATTTGAATGAAATTTTCAATATTTTCTTGTTTTATCATCTATTTTTGAATTATTATAGCAAGAATGGCCAACTCTTTATTAAACTCTTAACTAATGTACCTTTAACACTGCACACACAGCAAATATGCATTGTTTTAGTGGTATTGCGAATATTTTTGTTAAACACATCGATCATAATTAGATGTGAGAGTTTTTATTTTTACAAATTTGACATGATTTATCTACATGTATATAAATTACCCGCGCGATTATCGCATTTTTACAGGAAATAACACTGATCATTCATCAAAAAATGGCCGTTGTAGCTAGACGGAGTTAATTTGCGCGAAAAAAACGTTTCTTTTATTAGGAACGCATCCGGGAGGGCCACTGACTGACCCACCCCCTCCCACTGCATACGTCTATATTATAGCGTTGTTGTGCATATTCTTGGAGCCCGGTCGGAGCAGAAAAGTAGGACACTGAACCCTATTTCATTTCTTTCCCCCCTTGAAGCCAATTTAAAGATTGACTATTGAAAGCAAACCGGGTAATATATCATGTTTAGTAATAGATAATCATTATTACATAATATATAACAATCACGAGAAGTAATATACAAGGAAGTGTCGATTACATAATGACGTCATCGACATGCGGACATTAAAAAAACCCCAGACCATGCTGTGATAATTTACCATTAGCACTATCAATATCATAAAAATAATAAGGAAATTGTTATAGAAAAGTAAAACAAAGATTAGCGATAATTATTTTTTTGTTTATTAAACAATTTATTTTAACGATGACGGCAGAGTAATTAAGATAATGTAATATCGAAAATAGCTGTACCAGACAGATATACCAAGTTTTACTGATGATAAAATGTAATTTTTAGATACAAATTAAAGAGGCGACATCATCATTTAATTCCCATCTATACTCAATAGCGTAGCTAAAGGGCGGGGATAATGAAGACGTGCAGGCTATGAGGAAAATTGTGCCCGGACAGCGGCGCACGGCCTAATCTTATGAATCGAATTTCAACTGTTAAGGGTTCCTTGCCGTTCACGCCAATGTTCCTTGACATGTCACCTAGTCTGCAAAAATGACGAGGGGGAACAACACGTACATGAAAATCCCGAAAAACTGTATCGATAAACACGGGATCGAACATGGAACCTCTAGGTTAGCAAATCAACGGCTCGCTCGGATGGGGAGGGAGTGGGCAACAGGTGGCACAGTAAAAGGTATCAAGATGTCTGACACACATTTAAATTTTCTAAGACTATATCCGATTTGATGGTAGAAATAACGGGCGTCAAAATCTACATAAATTTGATCACTATGGGGTTTGATCAAATAGGCCTGTCTATAAATTGTTAATTAAATATTTTGTATATCACGTAAATAAAAAATGTTGATCTACCGAATCACGCATGTAGGTTTACTTAAATTTGTTCATAACATTTTCATTTGATCTTAATGTCTGCCGTTAACTGAGTTTTCCTCAAGTTCATATCCAGTTTACCCGTTTTTATTTTTTTTCAAAACCATCGTCTGACCCAATTTAAAGTTAGAATATATCTACGCTCATGTCATTACAAGTATTTGTATTGACGTCAAATAATATAGTAATTTTGATAATTATCAAACTCGGCCTGGGGTTACAACAGACTTGTATCCGATCGTTAATGGTACGTGTAAAAGTGATCGACTAGAACTTTAAACATTGAATGCGAAATAAAATCTATAAACCGTTTGGGCTGAGACAACAAACTCCTCGAATTATTTGCAGTGTTGTTAATTTACCAAAATAAATACTAGAAAATCGAGTACACCGTGAAAGAAAAATGATGCGTAATGTCCGCTCCTGATAAGAACATAAACCCGCTCTCAATCCGCTAGCTCGCCTCAAGACATGCCGGTTATACATTTGCCACATAACCTTTCACCATATATGGGATCGCTCCTTATATGGCACAACGAACAGGTCATTTTCTAGGAAATGAGATCGAAGCCTATATAAATTGACGTCAATCACAGATAACCGTCAGTGTTACAAACTTGCTTGACAAGGAAGGAGGTTGATCATTTAAAGTAGTTTAGTTTAGTTAGACATCATGGAAGACGAAGTAGCAGCCCTCGTTATTGATAATGGCTCCGGTATGTGTAAAGCCGGTTTTGCCGGGGATGACGCCCCCAGAGCCGTTTTCCCTTCCATTGTCGGCCGACCAAGGCATCAGGTAAGTTCCATGTGTTTTAAAACGTTTTATTTCTGCAAATTATGACTATTAAATAGGGGCATATTTTCCTCATTTAAGTTTTATTTTCTGAGTATAGCGCAAATGAAATAGTTAATTATCAAAAGATTTAAGAATAAGAAGGGTCTTTATTTCCTCAGAAACTAGTTCTATCATTTTTCTATGGGAACAATTTATTTCAGTTCCCCGTTTTCTTCTTATGTTTCACACCCGGCATGTTATAAATTTACTTACAAATATAAAGGCATGTTTTAATGAGAAGTATCCTTTAATTACTCGTAAAAGTTGTTTCTTAATTCATCTGATTGTTTTCCATGATTAATAACAGAGTACTTTATAAACTTTTATAAACTATTTAAACTTGGTTAAGTATATGTTTGGGGCGTTTCTCTGGGGGCGTAACACCAAGCCAATGAATTATTTCTATAGTTTCGATTACTCGGCGATTGACACGCATGTATATATTACGGAGATATTTGGGACCTGATAATCTCGGCATGAAAACACACCCATCAAATCCATAAATGGTCATAGCTCTCACGTGATGAATCATGTGATGTAATCGAAAGTAGGGTAATGATAACAAGAGTTAGTAACATGACACGGATGAACTGTTGTTATCTTTGTTTGTTAATTGACTCATCATGGAAGAATTAAGTAACATTTGTCAATTGAAACGACAGATTGTGATGAATAGTGACTTGGTTCATAAGACAATATTTATTACAATACACAAATTAGTGGCAGGATGATGATAGCTGGCCGATGCTCACCTATATTAAATATCAGTAATTAGCAGAATGGATTGTCTTAATTGTTTGTACATGTACCATATAAAAATAACAAACTCAATAAACTGCGTATGGATTTCGGAGAGAGGCGCATGGAATTGATTATTATGTGACATGGTACTTAGTCACTGGGCATGCCTATAAAAACAAATTTTTGGACGCCCCCCCCCCACCCATCCCCATCCCGATCCCCAACACGTTGTTCGAACACTGATTTATATAGTAAGTGTATTGGAGTCCACACTCTACACACACACCCTTCCTTTTGTTTATGGTTATAAGTCTAAAGATCCCCCAAGGGTTGAATATACCAATCATCATATATTTCCCATTAAGTAATAGATTTATTTATTGTTTGGCTAGATGTCTTTAAGCCATTTCTCAAACTTTTATTACTTGTTATATGAGATGAGACATTTTTATTCCGGTTATTTATGAATTATGAATTTGTATTTCAGGGTGTCATGGTTGGTATGGGACAAAAAGACAGCTATGTTGGAGATGAAGCTCAATCTAAGAGAGGTATCCTCACTTTGAAATACCCCATTGAACACGGTATCGTCACCAACTGGGATGATATGGAAAAAATCTGGCATCATACCTTCTACAATGAACTCCGAGTTGCCCCAGAAGAACATCCCGTCCTCCTCACAGAAGCTCCACTCAATCCTAAAGCCAACAGAGAAAAGATGACCCAAATTATGTTTGAAACCTTCAACTCACCAGCTATGTATGTTGCTATTCAAGCCGTATTGTCTTTATACGCCTCTGGTCGTACCACTGGTATTGTACTAGATTCCGGTGATGGTGTTTCCCACACTGTACCCATCTATGAAGGTTACGCTTTACCACACGCCATCATGAGATTGGATCTCGCTGGCCGAGATTTGACCGATTACCTCATGAAAATCCTTACCGAGAGAGGTTACTCATTCACCACCACAGCTGAGCGAGAAATTGTCCGAGACATCAAGGAAAAATTATGTTACGTTGCCCTCGACTTCGAACAAGAAATGGGAACAGCTGCCAACTCATCATCTCTTGAGAAAAGCTACGAATTACCTGACGGTCAAGTCATCACCATTGGTAACGAACGATTCCGATGCCCAGAAGCTCTCTTCCAACCATCTTTCTTGGGTATGGAATCTGCTGGTATCCATGAAACCACATACAACTCCATCATGAAATGTGATGTCGATATCCGAAAGGATTTGTACGCCAACACCGTCTTGTCTGGTGGCACCACCATGTATCCTGGTATTGCCGATAGAATGCAGAAAGAAATCACATCTCTGGCTCCAGCTACCATGAAAATTAAAGTCATTGCTCCCCCAGAACGTAAATACTCCGTATGGATCGGTGGTTCCATCTTAGCCTCACTCTCAACCTTCCAACAGATGTGGATCTCCAAACAAGAATATGATGAATCCGGTCCATCCATTGTCCACAGAAAATGCTTCTAAACTAATTAATTAAGTTATGAAAATACTTCAAGAATTCACCCCATCAATATAATACAAATACAGCAAACATTTCCATAGAAGCTCAAGCAATGTAAAGTGATATTTTTAGGAGAAGTTAATAAAGTGTAAATACATTTGACTTTCTGTGAAAAATGTTGTTAGTCTTCGGACATTAGTCAGACCTTTTAAACCAATATCAGGGACTTTGATGTTAAAGGTCATGGTTTATAATATACTGACCAGTATTATGGTTCAACAATTTCATATTATTTATGAAACTTGTAAAAATATAATTTATAATTTTGTACATATGCCTAAATGATTCTTTTGGATCTTGTTTGTTTTTTTGTCATACAATTTTCCCATGTTTGAAATAAAAGAACAATTTTTAAATTTTGTTTTAAAATTTATTTATTTTGATATAAGGGAGTTGAGACAATATATATTGTAACTTAATTATACTGTGTCTTTGGGGGTTAGGTTGTGTTACATCACAAGGTCTGTCATTTAGTCAAGTGGAGACTTACTTCCCCGGCTTGAACAAGACAAGGAGTAGGATCATCTGTCCAACCTCATGGGATTTCACTGTTTCCTCCGGATTCTTACCATGACCCCTATGCGCAAGTGAATTATTGAAATTAAATTGAACCATATGTTAGTCCCGAAATGACCTTGTTTGTGTTGAGTGGATGTTAAACCCCATTTCTCTTTCTCTGATGCCATTTGAGGGATTTTGAATCAACTGCAAACTACAGAGCCAGATTAAGCTTGCATGGAGCCCCCTAGCTGAAAAATGTCATTGATGCCCTTGCATCAACCAACCGTGAATACGGGACATATTCTAGTCATTGTCTGTCACACTGACACAGATGCAATTTGTATTTCTGACTATGACAGTATGGTAGATAGATTTATTTGACAAAAGCATATACATGTACAACATAATAAATAAAATCTTAAAATTTGTGCGCACATTTCATATTGGGGCCCCTGGCTATAGCCCCCTTTATCCTGCCTTGAGTGAGAGTTGAACCTCCAAAATAAATATCAATCCAGATAATGGTTCAATTCTGCATTGGAGATTTGTCAAACCATGAACCTTATACCATTATATTCCATGGCAAACAAAGTGCTGATCGTGACTAGTAAAGAATTGCCTGTAGCGACAACACATGCACATTCCCTCACTTGCGAGGTACAAGTCATTCACTATTAGACCCCTCCCCTTGCCAAAAAAGTCACATTATCAAATATAAATTGAAATTCGACTAATCAGCACAAATGAATAAATTTTCTGGATTATCCTTATAAGAACATAATTAAAACAAGGTTGTTTAGAAAAGGATTAATTTTAACATATTCACTAGATTTTTGAAGCAAGGCCAGTAACTCTATTAATAAAGTTTGATTTTCACTACGGTTCACGAATAATCATGCAAATTCGAAAGAATTTAGTGATAACTTTGATCTATAACATGTTGACATCAATTTTCTATGCAAGGGCAATAATTCTGGATAAAAAATGGAAAGGGGTTTAATGTCTTGCTTTTATGCAAGGGAAAACGACACTGAAAAATCCCGAGACCTCGGTGAACCTCACGATCAAATGTGAGACCTCCTGGTTAGTGATCCAACTCCTTATTCACTGAGCCACTGTGGCTCCAACTCTGGAAGCAGATAAGTATGATATTGCACAACCCTTCAATACATTTACAACTCTTGGGGGTGGAGGGGGTGACAAGGGGCAGGGGGCAGGGTCGCTTGTTCAACCTCAGGGTTTTTTTCTGGGTCCTCTCACTGCTTAAAAACCCCTACGTTCCAGAGAATTATTGAAGTAAAATTGAACCATACGTTAGCCCTGAAATGACCTAGTTTGTGTTGAGTGGACATTAAATCCCATTTCTTTTTCTCTCATTTACAATTACAATTTTTGCTTATTTTCAATATCATATATGTGTTGGTATATATGATATAGAAAATAAACGAAAATAACTAATAATTTTACTATGTTTCATTTATAACTTTTTGTCTTTAAAAGGTTTTCAAAGCCAGGGCAATAACTGGGAACATAAATAATTGAAAAATGTACTGATTTTCAATTGGGGTCATCCTCATATTATCACGAAATCATGCAAATTTTACAATTTGTTCATGGAAACTTGTTTACCAGAAATATGAAATGAAATAGGGTTTAACGTCCTACTGTTCTGCTCTGACCGGGCTAAGGAAGATGGGCATATACCATACAGTGTGCTACAACCTAGTCTTATATCGAATTCCAACTGCCAAGGGATCTTTTACGTTCACACCTATGTTTTTTGTCCCATCTGAATGATTATGCATTGTCACTTGCCAGGCCCTCTGTCCTGCAGCATTGACAAGGGGGATCCTCGCTGGAAAATCACAATGAACTTTCTCGGCCAATACTGGGATCGAACATAGGACGTCCAGGTTAGCAAGACAACGTCTTACTGAGCCATCAAGGCGCCATGTGAAAACTAAAGACAAGATATGATAACATTAAAATAAGGGCATATCAAAATGGTAGTAAAACAAACACAAAAAAAAAATCCTTGAAATTAAATTTTTATTACAGATGAACTATTAGATGAACAAAAACAAACAGAAATGTCCTATTTATGTATAAAAAACAGGAATTGATTTGATTTAGAAAAATTGCATTACAGTATAAATATATTAATACCCATTAATAATCACAAGATAGCTCCTAATAATAATAATAATAACCATCAATAAATAAATATAGTGATTAAAGATATATTCCTTCAAACTTAATTAGGTCAACTATTTTCATCTTAAAACTTCACATCTTAATAGAAACTACAGCATTTCTTAAAATAGAATTTTATGAAATGGAGTTAAATATCCCACTTATCTATGTCAACTGGCCCATGGGCCAATGAAGATGGGCATACATCATGCCTATTCTTAATTGTATTTTAACTGTCAACAGTTCTTTTATAACGTTGTACCTCTGACTGTCTTCCCATCTGAACAATTAGGTGCTTGCCAGTCCCACTGTCCTTCAACACCGACAAGGGGAATCCATCTACCTCATACTTCGAGAATAGATCTCTGCTCAAAATGGTCAGTTGGTCACCACATCCCAAAATTAGTATACAGTTTTGTAATGCGGCTCTACTCCGTTTCACATATGTCATACACACAAATACTAAATAATCTTTTCCAACTGGAAGCAGATTAAACACATAACAAAATTTTCAAAGTATACTTAGTGTTTTCCACTAAATTTGTCGATTAAGGACTTAAAATGTCGGTCAACTAGCTTAGTGTCTGTTCTCAACAGACTAACTGTAGACAGACAGACTAAGTTTAGTATGAGTACTATCTTGTCTGCAAGTATACTTAGAGTTTTCAACTAAACTCGTCGATTAAGGACTTAAAATGTCGGTCAACTAGCTTAGTGTCTGTTCTCAACAGACTAACTGTAGACAGGCAGCCTAAGTTTAGTATGAGTACTACCTTGTCTGCAAGTCACATATTTCTCTTAATTGTAATATTTTTAGATTCGTAATAGAAAAGACTTCCCTTTGCAAGCCGTTTGGCTATAGTCTGCAACTGAGGTTATATAATTAGGATGTAAGACATCAAAGGAATATAACTTTAAATCACAGCACTAGTACTATAAATATATAAATATTTGTAATAATTAAAAACATTACATTATAAATTACCTTAGGTTTAAAATGGTATGAGCACTGATTAATGACAAAAAATGCATACAATATTACATTGTCCATGAATATCTGAATGTCCCTGAAGTAAGAAATACTTTTTATCAATTTTAAATAATAAATTCAGTATGATCAGTATGATCAACATTAAAAACACAACAAGCCAGATTAAATAAAGGCCGATTGTAAAAATTGTGCGCTTAATGTGCCATTGAATATGGTTTGTAATTAAGCACATATAATTAAGTGTAAAAACACTTTTATGACAAATGGGATAGCAGAATAAGATGGCACAATTTCTTTATTTGTCTAAAGAGATATAAAGTCTGAAATCAACAGAAACCAATGTAAATTATAAATGGCCATAGTTTAAGTAAAAATTGATTGGTTTGAATAATTATTTTAGGTCCGATATACTTGGATTGTGTCTATGGTCTTAATCTCTATATTCAACCTTTATTCTGGCATGTTGGGGCTTTAATAAATGTATTCTATCAAACCGAGTTCGGCAGCCTATAACAATAAGATGTACTGGTGTGCAATATATGGTCATGTCTTATATAATATTGAAATAATAAATGTTTCATATCAATCAGAGCATGACAGTCTATAACAATAAGATGTGCATATTATGATCATGGTTTATATATTATTTAAATAACAAATGTTTCATACCAATCAGAGCATGATAGTCTATAACAATAAGATGTAGAATATGGTCATGTTTTATATAATATTTAAATAACAAATGTTCAATAGTATAAAATATATAACATGATTGAGTAAACTTGTGAATATAAATCATAAAAGATGGTTAGGGAATAATATGGTATTACATATGAAACAAACTGCTAGTTACTTAGGCTCAATATACATGTATACCATTTATGGTTATGGTAAACACAAGTTGACCAGTGGTAAATACTGGTAAAGTTTGATACACAATATTACACTTAAAAGCTTAGAATATTCACATTCTGTACAGTTCGCGATTATGGTAAATACAAGTTGACCCATTGTAAATACTGGTAAAATTTTATGCACTTGTTACACATACTACATTAGAAATTCATATTCTGCACAGTTGTGATTATGGTAATCACAAGATGATCTGTGTTTAAAAATGTTTGTTATAGCATGGAAAACTCAAATTTTCAACATACGATAATTCTAATTAGGAGCAATAACGATTCAGCGTATGTCAATAAAAATGAAAATGATTTTAAATGCTCAAGTATACAGTTGTGAATATGGTAATCACAAGATGATATGTATTTAAAAATGTTTGTTACAGCATGGAAAACTCAAATTTTCCAGATAAGATAATTCTAATTAGGAGGAGAAATGATTCAGCATAAATCAATAAAAATATAAATGATTTTAAAAGCTCAAGTATACTAATACCTGTAAATTGTGAAAATAAAAAAGGAAAACAAAGCAAAGACGTGGACTATGTTATCATGTGATCACACTACTCAGTCACCTGGGATCCTGATAATTTCTCATTATTAAACAGAAGTGATGTTAATGTATTATTTATCTTTAGACCCAAACCCTATTCACAGTCAAAGCTATTAAAAGGGACATTCACCCAATAATAAAATAATTTTATTCCTAAAATGACACTTGGAAAACACAGCAAACATAAACAAGTGAATAAATATTTCAATTCATAACAAGCCTAAAACTAAAACAACTAGTAATCAATTAACCTAATTCTATTATAAATACGACTAATTAGTTATAAGCAATCACATATCTCAAACAAATCTGATCTTCATTAAAGACAATGTATTCGTTATATTGTGCATATAAAGACTCTCCATCTTCTTCATCCACAGAATCATAAATATCATCTCCAACACACATAGTCACACCTGTAATAACAGATACATCACATGGGAGATTAGATAAAAAGCTGACAGTTCTCACTATAATACTTTAAAAAAAGATAATGTAAAGAGATTATGTTGAAAATTGCTACACTGTGAACCAAGATATTAGCGATTGAATTTTAGGCCTAGCCTCGATCATCATTACTAAAGTAGGTATGATAAAAAACAAAGTCTTGATCATCCAATTTGATGTTAAATCATCCATCAAAAAATGTATTCAACTCCAGTAAATATCGCAGGCTAGTGATGGCATCAAGAGTTGATTATGGTCTGGATGAGTTAATTAATGTCGAATTAATAATTTAGATAACATTTCAGGCCTAAAGATAGACCTGCAATAGACAGATTTAGTTCTTGCATAATGCATGTTTAAGGTCTGCTTCCACCGGGGTTTGGTCACAATGAGAATGAAATGAAATGGGGTTTAACATCCTACTGTTTTGCTCCGACTAGGCTAGTGAAGACAAAAATACGCCATACAGTGTGCTACGAAGGAAATTTTGCCTGGACAGCAGCGCTACGGTCTACTCTTATATCGAATTCCAAAATCCAAAGAAGCTTTAATGTGTACGCCAATGTGTACACAGGACCTCAGTTTTTTGTCCAGTCCGAACGACTAGACTACTGTCCATGTCAGGCCTTTTGTCTTGCACCACTGACAGGGGGAAAGATTGCCGAAAAATCCTGACGAACTATCTCGGCCAACTCAGGGATCGAACATGGGACATCCAGGTTAGTGAACTAACATCTTAGTCATTGAGTCACTGTGGCTCCCCAAAAAATCTTAAGACAAAGGAAGTTAACAACCGTTGCAGCTATTATTGTATTTTAGCATATTTAATGTCAGTTATGCAACAAAAGAAGAACTGTCATAAAATTTTTATAAATATTTAACAAAGATCTAACTATTGAAGTGAGGCTCAAAAATATGGTGTTTACATGCATTGAAATCACATTGACATCATTAAAGTTATTGTAAATAATAAATACCTGTGGGTAGAATGATCTTTCCCCGTGGATCTGGATGGTTTTTACCTGGCACAAATAAACTATCATACCTTTTATTAGCTCCCTTTAATTCATTCATATCTTTTAACTTGAGTTGTTTTCCCAGAGCAACCTATTATATTAGAGACAGAATCACAAACAAAACTATACTGCTTTTACTTCAAAACAACAGCCAGATTGGATTTAATATTTTCTATCTGTATTGCACACCTTAGTCTATTCCTTTTGCATTCGTTTCAATAGGATATTGCCAGATATTAGGCCTACAGCTGTATTTAATGCCACGACATAGGGAGATGGTTCTCAACCATTTTTTACCAACGGTATTGGAATACATGAAAAAATAGCGGCACACCTGGCTAAATATATATGAAAAATATTTGAATTTTGGAAAATAAAAACATGGTAAGTCAGACAGAATACAACCGTAGACAGAGACTATAGTCATAGACACATAGAATGACTCAAACTAAATAAAGAAAAACACAGCTATGAACTTATCAGTAGACACCAGTGAATACTCAGTGAATCACATGGTCTTGCACATTTTCTTAAGTGTGGCGTTCAAAATTTCGCACCACACTGGTTGAGAATCACTGACATAATAGCACTTAAAAACATTAAAGTTGCATGATATTCATACTTATTCCAAATCAAATCTATTCCTCATGTAATTATTCACAAATAGCTCGAATTAGCTAAAAAAAACTTGACTGATGTTAATTATCTAAAGTCTGAGCCTGACATATTGCATGTGTTGCTTATTTGATTGACTACAGGTATGTGAAATTTTATTTCCGTCTTACATACATTGTACGCTTTGTGATGAACAATTTACAATTTATAACTTAGAAAATATTTGAATAACATGAGTATACATTAAAAATAAACTGTGTATACATACCTCTGCCAATAGAATTAATTTAACATCAGAACTAGATGAAGAATATCTACGTGATTTATGGAACTCATCAGCAAAATATATACCCTGTAACATTAAATAGATATCTTATAAAAAACATTAAATATATACCCTATAACATTAAATAGATGCACTATAACATTAAATAGATGCACTATAACATTAATTAGATGCACTATAACATTAAATAGATACCCTATAATATCAAATATACACATTAAATAGATGCACTATAACATAAAATAGATGCCCTATAACATCAAATAGATACTCTTAACATTCTATATTTATAACATTAAATAGATGCCCTGTAACATCAAATAGATACTCTTAACATTCTATTGATACCCTATAACATTAAAAAGATGCACTATAACCTTAAATCGATACACTATAACCTTAAATATTATGTTAATTTTTACTGTTGTCATTTTCATTTCTTTTAACATATTCAGCTGAAAAACGCTTAAAATTTAATGTATATTTAAATGTAACATATCTACTGGACTGACAAGTGTTCTTTAGATAGTAATCTAGATGGTTAAAATATTTTGACCTCAATGTTCATGGATCAAAAAGAGCTATAGTATAAGTGTTGGCTAACATTCTAAGAGAAAAAAAAATGGTAGAATGAAATCAACAGAAAGAAATGGGAAATTTAAATAGAGCGAATTTAATAATTTCTAAACCAATATGCGTTATGGTAAGAATACTTTTTATCGCGTACGGATGGAAATATCGAGAAGAATTTTTTCAGTAGTGGTCCAGGTTTTATAGAAATTGCAGAAATGTTAGGTTTCATCAGAGTTGTTCCCCCTTTCACAGGCAATTGTTTGGTGTTGAAAGAAAATATATAATACCTCTCCATATAATTGTCCATGTACAGTATGGTTATCAGTGGGATTATATAACAGACCACGATGTAAAATACCAATAAAATTAGCTTCATTTGTACCATGCCACAATAACATTCTATTATCCTTATTTTTACTCTTTAATCTCTCTTCTTCACCATCTCGACTAATTTCATATATACCTTGTACTTTAGCACTCTGACTTTTATCATCTGAACCTATAAAAAATAACGCTCATTTTCATCTATAGTCAATAAGGCCATACAAAAAATTAATCTGATTCTCAGACACTCCCATGTTATTTAAAAAGAGTCGCATGACCTGTTTTTTTTTTATTCCAAAAAAGAAAAATAGAAAAATTCTCATTAATTACTTTCTGTAAATATTTTCTCTTGGTTTCAGCAAGCAACTCTATAAATGTGTTTCATGAAACTGGATGTGTAGTGCCTACTGTAGGCTCAGTTATTAAGTACGCAACCCTGATAAATGTTACAGCCAATCTTAAATGAAACTGGATAATCATACATTTCTATAAACATCATGATAAGATACCTGTAGTGCCCAGTAGTGATCCCTTGACAAAATAAAACAAAAAAATAAAAAAAAAGATTATCTGAGGACCATAATATGTTCTTGTATGGCCTAACAGTAAAACTGTGCATTCTAATTTATAAAATACATTCAAATTACTTTAAAAATATATGTTATTCAATTGAAAAGGAGTAATCTTCAGAATGAACATAGAAAAACAACACAATGCAATTAGATAACTATTTCAGAGAAGATATGTCCGTCCTACAGCCTGCAATTTTTGACTGTTAACTGAAAAATATTTATTTCTGTGGAATGGAGGAATCCACAAATTGCCCTCGTGTTAATGAATGAAGTTTACAAACCAGATGCCATCTTAAGGTAGATTTTTGTGAAAAGGATTAATTATCTGTCTTGAAGCATAATCGGTGGACAAGGAAGAGAAATAAAAGACTACACTGAACATCTTGTTTATCAAATAAACAGATTGTTGTTTGCACAAATACAGAGTAACACTACACTAATACATAATAGGGAGAGCAAGAAATGGGGTTTAACGTCCACTTGACACAATCTAGGTCATTTCGGGACTAACATGGTTCAATTTTATTTCAATAATTTGCTTGCGTGTAGGGGTCTTTAGCAGTGGGATGAAACTGGAGAACCCAGAGAAAACCCACGAGGTTGGACAGGCGACCCTACTCCTTTCATGTACAACCAGGGAATCGAAACCACACCAGTCTAATACATATACACTTCAATAAAACTTCACTACACTACACTAACACTCTGGAAATATGTATCTAATTGTGCTATGTTCTTGTATCATTTGTTATGTTAATGTCTTGTTGTGCAGTTCTCCTGTAGTGTTTAAAATACTTACTCATACAACACAGTATATACTGTGACATATAATTATCTTCATCCAATAATCTCATCTTACATCCAAGTGTCTTGTATACATAATCCATAGGATTTACATCTAAAATAATGAAAATATACATCATATTATTAAAGCCACAACATGTGAGAATAAAGTATATATTCATCATATTATTAAAGCCCCTACTTGCCAGAATAAAGTATATATTCATCATATTAAAAAAAAGCCCCCAAGAAGCCAGAATAAAATATATATTCGACATATTTTCTAAAGCCTGAACATGCCAGAATAAAATATATATTCATCATATTATTAAAGCCAGAATAAGGTATATATTCATAATATTATTAAAGCCCCAACATGTCAGAATAAAGTATATATTCATAATATTATTAAAGCCCCAACATGCCAGAATAAAGTATATATACATCATATTATTAAAGCCCGAACATGCCAGAATAAAGGTTAAGTACGTAATTAAAGACCATATATAATCAAATAACATTTTGGTATCTATTGACTTCATTCATTCTTTTTATGTGCTTAATTATATAACACTATACGGTGTATATATAATATTGTATGGCACCGCATGCTAATTTCTTTTTACAAAACTATTGATAGTCATACTCATAGCACTATATTTATATATTCAATCCTTTCACATGCATTAGCTGTTATTTAATCACTTTAAAGGTTTTCATTTGGCTGTGAACATCTTTCAAAGTAGGGTCAACTTTAATTAAATCTCAAGTCTTGCTCTGTCGGGCAGCCTAAGTATAGTACATATTATCAACTTTTGAAATAAAAAGTGCCTTTAATGAACAGTATTGGCAACATATGAACTATGAAGTGATACTAATCATAAAATAGTGGATGTGAAAGATAAGAATGTTTACCTTTTTTTTATAAGCAAACAGGTACAGGAAAGAATTGAGGTAGTTAATTAATATTTATACCACATCAATCTTCATTAATTTTTATATACCCAATATGTCAATTTGAAGACATACCATTTAGACACCGCCTCCTCCCCCGTCTCCCCTAGTAAAGGGTGGTAAATTAAAAACAAGATAATTTGAAGTCTAATGAAGGAGCTTGTATTATTACCTTTATGATTATACATGGCTCCTAGTAAGATTTTGGCAGCTCTTTCCATATTGAGTAGATTTCTAATCATCGAAAGTTCTCTGTTAAAATCTGATATACATGTGATAGGTGACATCTTATCAAAGGCAAATTGAGTACGTGGTGTTTTTCGGAAATATTCACTGTTTAGTTCTGACAACTCGTTATAGAATATTTTTAGTTTTGTGTGATCAAGTTCTGTATTATCACATCTGTAATCTTCTTCTTGTTTTAGTACTTGGCTGAAAATAAACATTCACCTAAATTATTGATTTTTCCCCTTTTGGTAGAGACAGATTTTTGTCTCATCCAAATAACTAGACCCTGTTTCTTGCCATGCCCTTCAACCTGCAACACTGACGCTGACAATGAGAACCCATGCTTTAAAATCATAAGTAACTTTCTAAGCAAACACCAGGACCATGTGGTCAATGTGCTAGCACCTTACTCACTGAGCCACCATGGCCCCCTAAAAATAGATAACACTGTAGTGGAACTTAAAATTTGGTCAACTGTAGTTACAGTTAGACAGTCAAATATGACTTCAATTCCATATGCCTTTAAATTTCACATACTGTAATCTTGTATGTATGATGACTCAGTAGCCAGGGCGACCTTCGGATGTAGACTATAGTCGCGACTACAGTCTGAACCAGCACCCAAACCCAAATGGCCCTAGCCATTGACTATTCAATATGGTGGCGACCATGTCAGTTGTTCCGCCTGCTATATTTTCTCCTATTTACGCATGTATTTTAAAAAACTGATTAATTTTCCATACTGTGATGTGAAAGCAAGCTTAAAATAGGTTACAAATAGGATTAGTCAATATCAGAATATTTTTCATTGGATTTATGTCACCCAACCAAGATCATTTCACACGTACAGTTTTTTTGTCGTGTGCCTATATATATTCGAATAAGATCCTAATCTGTCAAATTCATCAAAAAAAAGACGAAAAAAAATCAAATTTAACATCTTACTACAATGTCGATTCACTAACTTTCAGGTGTTAACATGGGCCCTATAATACCGACCAAGGTGTAAATAACGCAACGGCAATCAGCAATTTTATTATATTTTTCAGAAAATCTTCTCAAATGTCAGTTTTGTCAGCCATCTTTGAACTATACCGACCGTGCTTTATCGCATGGTACAGCTGGTCAAGACCACTGGTTGAACTAAATGCCATTCGCATGCAGATGGTTCGACTATAGTACGAAAGGTCGCCCTGGAGATCCTGCATTTGTTCATCAGGATTTTCCAGAGTGGTTCTCCTGTGTCAACAGTGTAGGACAGAGGGCCTTACAAGGGACAACATAAAGTCATTTGAATTGGGATGAAAATATGTGGTCCCATGTACACATTGGTGTGCACGCTAGAATTTGGTATAAGAATAGGCTGCAGTGCTGCTGTCCACGCAAAACTCCCGTCATAGCACACTGTATGGCGTATGCCCTTCTTTATTAGCCCAGTTCGGTGCAGAACAGTAGGACACTAAACCCATTTGATTTGATTTTTTACAAGTACTTCTAAATTGTTCAGAAGAGTCCAATAATGAGTAAAAGTTTAAGAATCATGATATCGTACATAAAGTAGAGATATATTATTATTATCTTATTATTATCTAACATATTATAAATCCATTTGTAAAAGTGGATGGGGATTATTGCCCATACCCAACACACTCCCCCTTCCCGGCTCAGTACATACCCTATCTTGTGTAGTATTTCTAAGGCAGTTTTAAGAACAGCTTCGTTAATTTTTCCAAAAGCAAACATATCTCTATCAATAGGTCTTGATGTAGAATATGGACCTATTTTTCTCGCTTTACTCTCAACCTGTACAAAAATAAATAAATATCATATTAATATTTCAAGGTATTTGAAATGAAATTAAAAAGGTGTTTAATGTCCTACTTTCCTTTCCGACTGACCTATGAAGATGGGCTTATGCAAGACAGTGGGCTGAAGCCTACTATCAAGGGACTTTTTACGTGCACGCCAATGTGCACACAGGACTTCAGGTTTTTGTCCCAACCAAACGACTAGACACTGTCCCCTACCAGGTGTTTAATCCTGCATCACTGAAAAGGGGAAACAATGATGCAAAATCTTAAGTAACTTTTTCTGCCAACACCAGAAGCTGACCAAAAACTTTCTGGTTAGACTGGCAGTTCAAACACTACAGGACATGTGAGATCTTTAAAAGTTATTTCTGCCTGTATTACTTAATGATCATCGTTTGAGGGATTTTACATTGCGTTCTTTGAAACTACAATGTTGTGATAGTTGAATCTGGAAAATTTATATGAGTGAAAAAATAGTTCAATTCTGTTTAGTATTTACAAAGATATGATTAACTGAAGATTTTGTAACATCCTATACAGATGATATAAACAATCCAGTGCCACATATAAGTGTTTGGTAAAAATTTTGATGTGCCTCTATTTAATCCAATACACTGTAATGTAGATTAAGCTGTGAAAAATGGAATATTATCAGCAGCTTTCACAAATAGGAATATGTTTTTACAGAGTCTCTAGGCTTTGCATATTCTTAAAGTCCAAATGGAAATGAAATGGGGTTTAATGTCCTATTGTTCTGCTCTGACTGGCCAAATGAAGACGGGCATACGACATACAGTGTGCTATGATGGAAATTTTTCCTGGGCAGTGGCACTATGGCCTACTCTTATATCAAATTCCAACTGCCAAGGGATCTTTTACGAGCAACCCAATGTGTACACGGGACATCATTTTTTTTTTTGTCCCATCCGAATCACTAGACCGCTGTCCATGTCAAGCCCTCCATCCTGCACCACTGACAAGGGGAACCACGTTTGAAAATCCCAATGAACTTTCTCGACCAATGCAGGGATCGAACATGTGACCTCCAGGCTAGCGAGCCAGCGTCTTACCCACTTAGCCATCATGGCTCCCAAAGTCCAAATGAAGACTTACTATTTGTTTAACAAATGACTGTATATTTGATGGTAGTTGACATGCAACAGTGTAATCAAGTTTAATGTCCACAGCTGTTTTTTTCTCTGGTTTTTTGTTCCAACTTGCATCAACTAAATGATATTTGTTTGGCCGTTCTTCAAAACTGTAAAAATTAAATGGAAGAGTAAGGTCACAGATCTAAAAGGCCCAATATTCTAGACTAAAATTCAAATTTTGAGCTCCAATTTGACAAAATTTTGTTGAAAATAATTGAAACTGATGGGAACATCTTAAATTCACACTACTTTTTATTCAACCATATTTATTGTCTTAGAATAGTCAATAGAGGCTAAGAGAGAGAGAAATGGTGTTTAATGTCCACTCAACACAAACTTGGTCATTTAGGGACATGATTCAATTTTATTTCAATAATTTGCTTGAGCGCAGGGTTCTCTAGCAGTAGGAGGAAACCGGAGAACCTGGAGAAAACCCACTAGGTTTGAAAGGTGACACTACTCCTTGTCATGTACAAGCAGGGGTTCGAAACCACACCTCTTGACTCAATGACAGACTGTATGATCAAACGTGCACGCGTTGACGATTCAGCCCCCATGTAACCTAGATGTAAATTGTCTAAATTTGTTATCTATAAAGAAAACAGTTCATTCCCCAATTCAGTTATTTTTTGCCTTGTTGACTAAAGTTTGCTTTAAAGGAGCTAAATTTCATGTACCTTTTGATATTTGTCCATGCATTACCAGTTTTTGATTTAAATATGGAACAAAAGTTTTTAATTCCATCAGCTTCAGTTTGAAATGGTGTTGTTTGTTGTTGACCTCTATCACCAATTCTCCCCCAGCGAGTAAATAATATATACAAATCTTTACCAGGCTGATATAATAGCTGTAAAATTTTACAAAATTAAATATATAAAAAAAACCTATAACAATCTGTTTGCATAAAATCTCCAGCTCTAACTGCCAAAATATTTCAAAATTAAATATATAAAAACAACCCTAACAATCTGTTTGCATAAATTTTCCAGTATTCCTTTCATACCTCTAGCTATTTTTGTGTTTTGTTTGTTTTTTTGCTTTTAGTTTATTTGTGTTTCTGTTTGTTCTACTCAATGTTTTGTATGATTATTGTTTTGAAGTTTTAATGTGATTCTAAGATATGATGTTACACACTGTAAATGTAATGTGAACTATGTACTATGTTGTTTTATTGATTATTAAATAAAGACTTTAAAAAAAAAAAAAAAAAATCCAAATCAAATTGCCAAAATACGAGGGTTAGGGCTGGCTGAAAAGTTCTAAACTTGAAAAGGATTGAATCAAACTTTTGCCACCAACAAGTACAATCATTGAATAAATCACAGACAAAAGAACTACAACTGTAGTGTTATTATTGTCTTCATATCAGACCATCTTGTAACCTACCCACTGAAATCACCAGAAACGGACAAAACTGGCAATAGAACAGTCATCAAGTACCTCCAACTGAAAGGACTAACCCAACACTTTAGGAGACGATACCCCTTCCTTTTCCACAGTAAAGAAGTGAGCTGTGGAATTTAAGAGTGGCTGAGAGAGCTTTGAAGATGAGCCCTGTCCTGGAAGGCCATCAACAGCAATCTGTGCAGTTTTGAAGCAGATCATAATAATATTTTGGCTAATTTGGCCCATTCAGAAGCCAACTGTTTCCAAAATTGAAAAAAGGAACTCCCCGGTCACCATTTTCCTACTAATGATGACATCATATCAGCTGTGAACAAATTTTTTAGGGTGGCTAAAGAAAATTTCTTCCTGACCGACATCAAGGCCTTTCAACATCTTGGCAAAAGTGTGTGCACCTCGAAGGATTTGTAGAAAAATGAATGGAAACCATTGACTTTGTACAGGTCTTTCCCAGATAGGCTTCTAAATTTTCAGACAGCCCTCATACTTATTTAAACATCTTCATAGAAGTTATAAATACCTGTATTTGATACAAGTCATAAATACCTTCATTTGCTAGAAGTTATAAATACCTGCATTTGCTAGAAGTTATTAGTACCTTCATTTGCTAGAAGTTATAAATACCTGCATTTGATAGAAGTTATAAATAACTGCATTTGATAGAAGTTATAGATACCTGCATTTGATAGAAGTTATAGATACCTGCATTTGATAGAAGTTATAAATACCTGCATTTGATAGAAGTTATAAATACCTGCATTTGATAGAAGTTATAAATACCTGCATTTGATAGAAGTTATAGATACCATGTGAACCACTGTTAACATCAACTTTAGTTAGTAATGTTGTATACAGTAAATCTTGGTCTTTGTCTAAAACTAATTTTCTACAAAAAAACATAAACAGCATTAAAATGTGGGCGTACAAGAATCACTTTTTGATATGATGGAAACCTTCAGTCAACAAAAGCTGAATCTTTTTTTAGGATAAATGTGGATGCATAAAAGGGTTGATTAAAGCTGTTTGAAATCTCATGGATGACTGTAGAATTTATACTTTTGTCAATGTAATTTATCTAAGTCCATCATTGATAGTAAAATGGTGAACTAAAGTTACACGATGGACAGCCAAGCGAAATAATAAACTAATAAATGTTTAATTAATGCCACACCATTTCAAGTCAATATCATTCAATATTATTGTTTCTAAAGTAAACAGCTTTTCCCTTTAGTAGCAGGGTCACAGTGCCTCAGTGAGTAAGATGTTGGAACGCTAACCTGGAGGTCACATGTTCGATCCCGGTGTTGCCCAAGAATGTTCATTCGATGGAATGAAAACCAAGGGCAAAATTTCCCTCGTAGGACACTGCATGAAGTATGTCCGTCTTCATTAGCCCAGTCGGAACAGAACAGTAGGACGTTAAACCCTGTTTCATTTCATTTCATTTCTTTAGTAGCAGACACTATTAACAACAAGATGAATGGGTGATAATTAGGTGACACTGTACTTATATATGCGAAAGGTGCCGCAAGCTGGTTAGCTAAATAATCTGGAGAAAATTACTGGCTAAATTACTCAAGATTGTTCATGTGAACAATAGTAGCACGGTTGGTGCAATAGAAAATGGTCGTGGGCAAAGGGAGGTAATCAGGCTTATCCTAGATCCATAAAACCGGGGCAATAATGTGAGTTATCCTTTAAAACTAATACTCAAGTTTAATATTGCATTAATAGATTAATATTTATATTACCCATCTGATATATTACAATATTCACTGATTTCAGGTTGTATAATATTTTCAATCATCTCTTCATCATCATCTTCATCTTCATCATTATCATATGGATCAAGTTCCTTCACCATCTTCTCAGCATCTTGTAGAAACAAGGAAGGATCACAACTACCTTTAAATACAACACCATCATCTATTTCTTCTGTTTCTTTATATTCTGGCAATTTCTATAAGTAAAAGGAATATGTATCAATTTTTTAGTCATTCAGCTGTTCTAGCTGGGGAGGGAAGGACTGGTCGAGCAAGCTACAGCATTGGAAACTTGTGAGGACGGTATTATCCCATTCTCAACTTTTGGGTTTCTCAATGCTTTCAGTTTCCTCAATACTGTCTCAAATTCAAGTTAATTAGTAATTACTATGTAATTCCTGAATCACTTAGTTATTGCACAATAAATTAGATTTATATCTGATGTGCAATCTGGATAAGCAAGTAAAGTTCATAATATTTCTCTTTGCATTTCATAAAAACACTTGACTTATTTAGTTGTCGATGACATTTTCAAAATCAACTATAATTGCAATTTATGAAGTTGTGTAATAAATATGACCCAAGTATGTATGTAACTAAATCTTGCTCAACCATTCAAATTTTATTGTAACATTTTTTTCACATTTTACTATTATTGGTGACTGTCATACTTAGCGCACACCCTAAATCATATCTTTAATTAACCACCATTGACCACTGACAGACAGTAGCTATTTTAAGATGACATTGTTTGTCCCCCACTACCAAAACTCTGAGGCAGGGTTCTATACTGTTAAAGTGAGAATTTCAAATTTTCTAAGAAAGTCGAAACATAATTATTTCTATGTCTTTTGCTCAATAGGTTATCAACTCACTATTATACGATCATGGGCATTATTTCCCACCCTTAAAAATCTATGACACAGGAAATAACACAATTACCTCCCCTGTTTTGCTATTGACAACATGGGGCAGCCATTTTCCAACGTTGGAATTTGAAGTTAAAAATGATATTTTTGCCAATTTCTCAGCTGGCAAAAGCGAATTATAGGATTAATAGGATTATTCTTTAACAAGGTAGGACTGTTTATGGATACCATCTATTTTAAGGATTTATTTTAATACATTTTAAAAATATAACTTGAAAATTTGAAATTGCAACTTTAAAAGCCTCATACACCAGAAGGCTAATACTTATTTACTTTATCTATATTTAAACATGCATTATGTAATGGCTAAATCGACCTATTGCAAGTCTTTATTCAGGCCTGAAATGTTATCTAAATTATTATTTAGACATTAATTAACTTATCCAGACCATAATCAACTCACGAAGCCATTGTTAACTTGCGATATTTAGTGGATCTCAATACATTTTGTGACAAATAAATTTATGTAAAAATGGATAATTGAGACTTTGTTTATTATAATACCAATGTTAGTACTGATGATCAAGACTAGCCTAAAATTGAGTCGCTAATATATTGTTTCAGAGTGAAGCAATTTGATTGAAATTTTCAGCATATTTTGTCTTCATTATCTATTTTTTAAGTATTATAGCGAGAGCTGTCGGCTCTTTATCTAATCTTATCTAATGCCTCTTTAACAAAGGCTGAAGAGTTTTCTTTGGATCAACGGCTGAAGAGTTTTCTTTGGATAGCGATGTAGGTGATTAAAACAAAAAAAACTAATGTAAAATTTAGATTGACATAAGTTAACATTACTGTTGATTGGCTTTAATATTTTATGGCCCAATATGCTCCTTGGTAAGACTACTTTAAATGGCGTGGTCTGAAAGTCTATATTTCTTTAGTAAATATCGTGTGATTAAAAGCTTTGAATTAAAAAAATTAATACAAATTATTTACCACAAAACTTTGATAAACATTGTTATGTTTGTAAAGTAATTCACCAGCTCGTACGGCGTTGTTCTTGACGGCTAAATCTAGTGGTGTCAATCCATCGTTATTTTTAGTCTGGAAGTGATCAGCTCCGCCTTTCACCAGAACAAACAACATTTCTTCATTAGCGAAAGACGCTGTTGAACTTTGTAGGCTTTGGACAAAATAATGTAGCGGGGTGTTTTGGTTCTCATCAAACCAATTATTTATAACAACACCACTCGTATTCCGTACAGCTTCATATCCTTTAATTAAAAGAAAAAATGTTTATACATTATCTTTGTATCATGTTCCTGAAGCAACGACTGAGTTTTACAACATTCTGACGTTGCTAGATTACTTCACAATTCCCGAATTTATAGCTATGTTATCTACAGACACGAGAGAGAGAGAGAGAGAGAGAGAGAGAGATATGGGGTTTAACATCCACTCAACACAAACCATGTCATTTCGGGACTAACATATATGGTTCAATTTTATTACAATAATTCGCTTGAATCGTTGGGGTCTTTAGCAGTCGGAGGAAACCGGGACAGGTGACCCTACTCCTTGCTATGTACAACCGGGCAATCGAAACCCCGTCAGTTGACTTAATGACAGGCCCTTCAACCCCCCCCCCCCCCCACAGACAAATGAACAATCATAGAGACCTCCACGGAAACCTTGAACTTTGCAACTCGATTATCACAGGTAGACATTTTAGCTTGAAAGTGCGAGACTTGGTATTTACGACGATCGAGGAATCTGACGTTCACAAGCTGGGCTTGTACCCAATCGAAATTAGTGCCGAAATATGCAGGGTATTACGTGAAGGCCTTGATAAGATGTACGAGTTAAAGCGAGATCAAGCCTTCTATTGAAGATGTATTTGTATAAGCCTGGATGCCAAGATGATTTCTCACTGAAATAATGCCAAAATAGTTACCACGGTTATGACAACTTCCTCAGTAAAGTGATATCACCACAAGATGTCAATGATAATTCAATGGATTTTACCACTGTATTTATACAAGTCACCTAAGCTTAGGTTACATATTTTTATCAAAATTTTATAAAACTGTCCTAATATCTTCCATTATTATCAGAGGCAGATCTAGAGGTGGGGTTGGGGTCCAAACCCCACCCCGCTCAGCTACATAATTAAAATTGTAAAACAACACTTTATGAGAAAAGTGTTTCGGTTGTGTGCTTTATTCTTTATCATCAGATGGTGGGATGGAATGGGAATTCAAAGCATGAAATAACGATAGAGACATGTGTGATATCACAATCCTTTGCATCAATGAAACTGAGTCACAATATGATTCAATTAATTCATTATAAAAATCGACGTCAAACGAGGTGTTGGATTTCTCTTTCTAAAAAGCTCAGTTTGTATGCATGTCTAAGTAATTTAGAGACGATGATGGCATCATGTATTGTCAACTGTCAGATTTCCTTAACAGGAGACTGGCAAACCCCCTCCTGCAAAAAATTCCTGGATCCCCCCCAGTATTATTTCTGTTTATTGTTGAATAATTAATGTTGTATCGGCCAAAATGCCAATAACTCAATTCTATTCAAATTCTTATGTCTCACCCAAAATTTAGAATGCATGTCATAGAAAAATACAATTGTGTTCAAATTATAAAATATGTGCCATAGAGAAACCAAATCTTACTTTGAAATATAAAACATGCTTGAAAGAATATCAGGTACATAAAAATAATCCTAAATCAGAGTTTATCAACTAATAACTTACATCTCCTAGGCATTAAATCTATGCTAGGAAGTTAAAACTGGATTCCTATCACAAAATTGACAGACAGTCATCACCATATTATGACGGTCTATAATGCCATACATTAAGCCTGTCTCTGCCTACTGGTAGTCTTATTTGCTTCTCTGACCTGAACACATAGCCTCAGGGACGCCGGAACGGCGCGAGGGCCAGGTTACCAAAAGATAGGGGGGTCCCGGGAGATTCCCCCCCCCC